GAAGAATGTTTGACAAGCCGCTTGTGTGGTGTATTTCGCTCTTAAGGGGATGCTCCGTTTTCTAGGTTGAAATTTTTTTCGCCATACAAAAATTGGACCACTCTAATGTACAAACATATGTATATATTGGAGGTAGAAGAGTGTTCGAACCAAACTGGCTGAGTCGACCGACAGCTAAAAAGAGTGCTGCTACGACCCAATTGGCTTTATAGCACACCAGCAGCAACGAGCGCCAAAAATAAAACTAAAAGAACGTGGAAAAAGTGGCAAAACAAACGCGCCAATATTTTTACGCAATTTAACAAGTGTTCTTTTTCCTTTGGTATTTTCTTTTTTTTTGATTTGATTTAATTCATTTCGTTTTTATTTTTTAAGTGTTTTTTGTTGCCTTTTTTGCTCATTTACGTAATTAATTTTTAGAGTAATTTGTGCGCAGCTATAAATAAATCTTGCTGTTCATCGCTTTGTTCATTTACAATTTCCTTGCCTTTCCTTTTTCGCGTTGATGAAAAAGTTTGACCTCGGTTGGCTTTTGTGAAAGGGAGTGCCGTGAATGGGTTTAATTGAAGGTGCTTTAAAATTTTGTAACAACCATTGAGAAAGTTTCAAAAAGGCCAAAAATATTTGTGAGTAAATTAAATGCTTAACTTGGCGAAGATTACAGAAAAGTTTTTTTTTATTTTTTATTTTAGAAAAGTTTTCCTGTGATGACAAAATTTTAGCAAATTATAAGAGCTTAAGTACAGATGTACGAAAGTTTGTTTTAAAGCACTTAAGATGACTTAAGAAACAAATAAAGCAAATTCCAAGTACGAGTAGTCACAAGCGTTTTGCAGGTCAAACCTATCGTTTGCAAGATGATCCTAAAGAGATGAAATAAATTTTCGAAATAATGTTAGAAAAAGGTTACTGACTGTCCAGAATCAAATCAGTTCTTAAAACAAGCTAACCTTTTCTTTTGATGATGAGCGCGTCGGCCGTTCAAAGGAAAAGAACAAAGATTTGAAGGCATGCATCTGGAACGTGGGACCCTTAATGGAGAAGATGGCTCTGCTCGGCTGGTTGATGTCCTCGGAAAGACTAAAGCTGACATCAATGCTATGCACTGGACGGGAGAAAGTGGCAAACAAACATTGGGCCTTGCGACGTCTAAAGGAGTGCAATTTCGGTGATAGATTTATTGTTGGAGATAGACTCTGTCGTCGAGTACTGTCGTTAAGTCGGGTAAATGACTTTCTTACCACAATCCGCATCAAAGCGAGATTCTTTAACATTTCGTAAGCCACAACGAAAGAAAAGTACGAGACGATCGAAGACCTCTTTTTTTAATACAGGAGCGCTGGCTAAAACCCGCATCTTTAGTCCCACTGGCGCAAAATTCAGTTTCCACGACGAAACGTTGTAGAACGGACTGAGATTGATCGGCTTTGCTGATACCTGAAACATGGTAAATAATATGTAGTACTAGGTTCCAGCATAAAAACAACACTCAAGCGACACGTTTTCCTCCGTATCGACAAGCAAGAAACCAAACCGAGCATTTTGCTATAGACGGAAGACACGCTTGCAGTATTTCGGAAGTGGGTGCTGCAAAAAATGTGCCTATAGTAATATAAGCAAAGCTCATCGTCGAAAAGCTTCATTCACAATAGAAGGCCAGTTTATTCGCCATTCGACTCCCACACCTGCACTCAGACAGCACTCCTCACTTTTTTTTTTATCCAAGAACTGTTTTACTTTCAAAGTGGCAGTTATTTAATTATGCTATTATTTAAGTGTAAGTGTGTTTGACTGTGTTTGTCAATGCGATAACGAAATATTTAGCAATACACAACCAGAATCTAATATCCGTTCACTTTAATTAATGATGAATTGCGAAATAAATTGACTTGCGCCCTTCTGTCGCTAAACACCATCGTTAAGGACGAAGATGTGGCAGTCGCCATTAATGCTGCTACTGTTACCACGCTTCATTAACGGCCAGACAACAAAAGCCACATGACAACATATTTGATGAAATGCTGAACATAGGGAATGGTAGGAAACTTTGGCAACTTGCACTGGCGACAAGTGTTGATGTAATCAACAAAACGATGCTGTATTATTTTCGGACGATTTTCATTATGCCCGTCTCCGAATAAAACGCACGCAAACAGTCAGTTGTAGGAGGAAAAAATTAAGATAAAAGGTAGCAAATTATGGCAGTAGCAACCCCAACATTTCAACCAAAGAAACAAAAACAACCACACGGCATTGACACGTAATTGAGGTGGTGTAAAATAAACTTCTACTTACATAGTTAATGAATCGATATTATGAGGAGTGGAACGAAAGAGCTTAGAAGCGAAATTTCTACTCCCCGATTTGGCAGTTTACTTACACATTTTGTTTTCCTTCAAACACTTAAGTTATATGACTTCCTCGCAATCTCTTTTATGAAGTGAAAATCTGACGGCTGTGTTTCCTCACGCTGTTGTTATACAAAGCAATTAGCGAACGTTGCGTGTATTGATATGCGCGTCGCGTCGGGCCGAGGCGGCATTGAACTTATTCAACAATTACCCCGCGTGCGATGGTTGAGACTAGGGATGTGCCGGATATAGATTTTGCCGGATAACCGGATTCCGGATATCCTGTAAAAAATAACAGCCGGATTCGGATATCCGATCGGATATCCGGTAGACTGCTGCCCTTAATAAATTTCACAATATTGTTTTTTTGCCGGCTCGAGTTCACCTCGACCTCCGCACCGTTTCTGATGCCACAGAATTTACCGCTTCGAAAACACAATTACCCACACATCTGCGCGATGCTATCGCTGTGAAAAATGGCATCTTATAAACAAACAAAAAACAATCTTCATCAAATTCTTTGCTTTTGAACAATCAAGATGTTTGGTTTTCTTACGTTAATTTTTGTTTAAATTATACAGAACCCGCCTATTAACCTTTTTCGTTTCCGAACGCGTAGGTCTGCGATTTCGGCACGACGAAATGAAGAGCTTTGAATGTTCCAATAAATAGTCGCGGCATTGTTGTAATTTTTTCGGAACAGATTCGCACCGTTTCAAAACTCGTTTTTTTTCTGACGCCAATAAAGCTAAAAACTGGGTTGTTGATGAACTAATTCGAAATTATAAATGAGTAAGCATGGAGAAACCAGTTGAATCATATGAAAATGAAATGCCGAACTATAGTGAACACTTCCATCGAAGATCGAGCTCACGAGGATATTTGGCAATGCTTTGAGGAAATCGCCAACGGCTCTGATGCTGATTCTAGTGTTTCTAGTGATATGGATAGTCAAATGATTGGTAGACAAGGCAGCGAACGTACAAGAAAAAAGGCAGCGATTTATGAACTAGAAATAGAGAAATATTTGCAGCTACCTCTTATATCCAGACAAGAAGATCCCTTAACTTGGTGGAAGTATAGCCGCAAAGAATTTCCAAATTTGTTTACACTGGCAATGAAGTATCTCTGCGCGCCACCTTCCTCAGTGAACTCGGAAAGAGTATTTAGTGCATCGGGTAACATTTATGTTGAAAATAGAAATAGGTTGTTGCCCGATAATGCGGAAATGCTTCTTTTCATAATGAAAAATATACAAATTGTTAACTCTGATTACTAATTAGATACTATTAAATTGGATTACAAAAATACAAAATCTGGGTTAAATTTCTAAATTGAATCTTCTATAATCGATATCCGGAATCCGGTCGGATATTAGCCAGTATCCGGCCGGATAACCGGATAACCAAAAAACGGCCGGATAGGCCGGATTCCGGATATCTACCGGATATCCGGCACATCCCTAGTTGAGACTGCAAAAGAACGTTGCGACTGTGTAAAAGTTACCAAACAAATTTTCAAGTTAAACGACATAATCCGCAATTAAAATATCGACAATGATGTGAGCGAAGGATAGGAGCGACAATGGCCTAACAACGGTGACGACAGCAACATAAATAGGACGCTTTCGGGCGCTGATGAGCCAGCAAGAAATGGTAAATAGCGAAAAGCGAAAAACTCAAACAACAACAAACATATTAGTGCGGTGAAAGTGACAGCCGGTGGGAGATACTGACACTTAAGTTAGGGAGAAATGTAAACTTCCAAGCCTGTTGCAAAAAAACTCAAAGGCACAAACGGTTCTTCTCATGCAATTAGGCATAAAGCTTCGCTACGAAAATTGCCTGGACTAGAAGAATGGCTATATTTAACGACTTTAAAGTTTGTTGTTTATTTTCTTCAACACGGTGGACTCACTACAAACTCATAATGCTGCAAGACAGCCAGTCAGCCAGCCGTCTCTGATCTGCTCACGCTTACATTTATCGTTTGCGTTGGGACGCGGTGGCATGCAGACAATGCGCAAACTTTTCTTATAAAACTCAATTACAATTAAGCATTTAAGTTGCAAGTATGTATGTATGCACAAGTAGAATGAGAAAGTGACACCAACAACTGATGCGCAAAACAAGGGTCAGCAATTCTATTGGAGAGTAGACTACTTAAAAATAGAAGGCAGCTGATGTAGTTTCTTAGCGTGGGATTAATGTGGCGCTGAAGTTAAGCGATAGCGAGTAGGCGACAAATGAATGTAATGAAAATTAGAGTACTTTGAAAGTTTATTTTCTTCAATAGCACTGCGGAGAATCCTCAACTTGATAATTGTCGAAGGATCGTCAGCTATGGGTTGCTTTGCTGTGGTCAGCAGAGTACGGAATACTCGTACGTATGGTATGCCCAACTCCTTTAGGATCTTAAAAATAACTAAAATAATAAAGGCGTGGCTAACGAAGTAAAGTAAGGAGTGAAAACAAGTTCAATTGATTGGTAGAACAACTTTTTTTTTAATACTTAAATGCCCTGAATTATAACAAGCAGCCGTTTTCGACATGGAAAGTAAAAAAAGAACAGCTCTATTTCCGCGACAATCTTACAAGCTTACAATTTCTTAACTAAAATAATTAAAAAAGAGAGAGGAAAGTTTTCATAACAGGATATTTAACTTTTTAATCCGTTGATTTTGAATGAAATATAAAGTCGAACCCTAATTCTTATATTTTTCGTATGCTTGAATTTTTAGGGAATTAGTACTATTTTTTATAATTCCACTAAATTCCAGTTAGACTCATTTCATTGAAAAAAAAACAATAATAATAATTATAAACTCCTTACAAAAGTACCAGTTTGACAGAATAAAACATAACCAAAGATCATAGAAAAAAGAATGCTGGTTATGTTTATGGCTCCCTATATGTATTTTATGCTCTACAAATATGAAAAATGGGGAAATTTATACGTCCCGACTTTTAAAAATATGCAGCGAGACAATTTTCTCAAAATCGGTACGAATGGTCACCCTAGTTATAACTCTTATTGGAGAAATAACAAATATTTTTCATCTAATATCTGTTATGAAAAAACGTTTTCGTTAAATTTCAGACTTCGGGCAATGTTTTCAATTTGTAAATTGGTCAAAAGTTATTATTTTTTATTTTGTCAGATTTTGTCTGAGAATGCAACATGTTTTGCAGGTTTTGCTACATAAATTTTGGATGGGTCCATTACTTTTATCCGCTCGTTTTTTCTACACTTCTCTAGGAATGTTGGGTTCATACAGAATGCATACCCTTAAATGATGCGAATTATGTTTTGAAAATGCATTCTTCACCGGATTAATAAACAATGAGAAACAACAATAACAAATTCTTCAAACTCAGAACTTCCCCTAAGTGTTGTTTTCTTCCAACACTTTATATGTACATAAATCAGAAATGTTCACCCAGCCAACTTTGAAATTTACTTGTCATTGTTATGTCAAGAATTTCCCCCATTGCAAACAATTAAGTATGCCTGATGCGCAATCTGCTGCCATATATACAATCAATGACACGCATCTAAGTATAATGCTGTTAAGTAATTTATGTAAAACGATGTTGATGGCTGACTGAGTAGAAGCGCGCAAATAATACAGACACATACATAAATATAATAATGTGTGTATGTTTGTTTTCTATGTACTTATGTATGTATGTAATCAGAAAAGGCAAATGACTACCGCCAGCTAAACCACCACCCTTTTATGCGCCAACTCCCTGTAACCTCCAGAGTATTGATAGCTACTACGAGCGGCAAGCACAAACCTTGGGGGGAAGAGGTATAAATACATAAATGCTCGAAAGCGAATGTTGCTGCTGCTTTTGCCATGCCATTCATCATTGAAAAGTGACTCAATTAATGATGACGATGATGGCGATTACGAGACGACTTGCTGCTTCTGATGCTACCAACGAACCACAAACAAGCGTGAAGCAGATAGTATGTACATTAGGGTGTTCCGAAAACAGTTAAGTCGGAATTGTAATGCTCTCACCCCCTAGGATTGTTCTATATCGAGAAAAAGTATACCCCTATTTTTTTTTTTTGAAATCAAAAAAATATTTAAGGTCGCTCAAAGCGCTCAAAGTTTTCCAAGTATTTTTATATGAAAAAAAAAACAATTTTTTTGTAGAAATGGTGTAGAATTCTTGAAAATCAATATTTTTCAATCGGAAAACTCTG